GGGGGATATAGGGGGGTATAGGGGTGGTATAGGGGATATTGGGGGGGGTTATGAGGGTGTTGGGGGCTGGTTTGTGGGTGTTGGGGGGGTGTATGGGGGTATTTGGGGTGGGTATGGGGGTGTTCGTGGGGTTATTAGGGGTTCTGGACCCAAATTGTTTGCGGGGTGCCGACGACCCCCGACCGGTAGGTGCCGACCAGCCGACCGGTCGGGGGGTCGGCAGCCGACCAGTCAGGGGTCGCCGACGGTCGGCGTGTGCAACACTGGTACACAGAACATTAACATGGCCACTGTGCGAAATCCCACAGATGTCCAAGTAGTCGTGTACAAGCAGAGAGCACAAATGCACCGAGGTTCCATCCAAATAAGAGCAGTACAATTAAGTCATGAGTCAATGTTCAAGCCCGCAGGCCACACCAACACAGTATCCAATGTCGCTCCAACACAGTATCCAATGTCGCTCCTCTCTGTCTCCCAGCACCCAGCCTACACTACTCAACTATCCTACCGACATCAGCATTCACGCAACAGGCTCACTTTGACTCTTGAAGACCAGTGTACATGACGTCAACACCATAGCCGACCTCTCTCATGTACCAGGTACGTATCTTGTCTCCCCTCATCAGACTGTGACCACCCACACTCGCCTCCTTCCTGAAGACCACTGATTGCCCTCTTACCCCCTAGCGCCCTGCAGCCCGGGTATGGCTGCTAGCGCTTCGCTGCCCAGCAGCACTCCTCTTCACCTCACAAGCGCCCGCACGGGCCCCGGCCGCTAACACAGCACACAGCCTCTCGCGCAGCAACGCAGCAGCGTGACCGCAATGCCTGCATGGGCCAGAATGCCAGACCCTGGCTGCCTTCCTCCCTATATGGAAGTGGCAGCCTCTGTTTGGCTGCGTGCGGCCTGGCTGGGAAGCTTTCAGTAGCTTCCGGTCGGGCCCCAATGTCTGCGCCCAGGCCCAGTCCTACAGTTGAGGGCCTGGGCCCCTTTACAGTTGGGGACGGCCTGAGTTTCCCGACTTGGGCCATTTGCTGCATCTGTACAGGACCCGGGGCATGTACCTTGACAATGCTGCTTTTGCTAGGCCTGTAGCCACTTCGTGATGTATCGGCCCTGCGTTGTGTGTATGTGCCCAGGCACAACTACCAAGGCCTGGGCCAAATTGTACGACGCAGCCTAGGGAGGCTCACGCTTCCATTCAACCAACTGGCGTGCTGCCACAGCCTGAGTACCCACTTATGAAAAATGTCAAATTTTCTGAGTACGGACGCCGCCCGGCCGGGCGGGGCCCGGRCAGGTCGCCCGGGCAAACCGGGCGGGCCAAAAAACAGCCCAGAATTTTTTTTTTTTTTTTTTTGAGGGCGGGGTCCTACTGTGCTCGGCGAGAGGACCCCGAATCTGCAATAAAATTT